TAGTAGTAGTCCTTATATAGATCCCTGTGGTATATTCATTATGTCACTTCAGGTTAAATATTCACCTCTGTTCCATACTTTTTCAAAACATTAGTTGTCAATCTATAGACATACAAGTTATTGAGTACCTAGTGCCTGCAATTTAAGAATTAATTTTTTGTGAGACATTTACATTTTCTACTTAGTAACTATACCATTTCATTTGGCTTTTGCTTCAACAAAGATGTTTAATTCAGTTAAGTGAAACCATCCTTTTCTACATATCTTAAATAAAATGATCCTACAGAACTTACACGTGGCCCTCTATTTCAGTTATGTTTAATGTTTCCATGACTTTACACACAATAGAATGACTTGGGGAGACTTATTGGCCTATAATTACTAGGTTTGTTTTTTCACTCCCTTTTTATTGGTTCATGCTAGATTAACAATTTTCTACTTAATAGCTTTTACCCCTGTCCCGAATTAAATTTGAAAGGGTTTTTTTTACCATTACTTTATAATGCTGCCTTAAGTATAATTGGTAGAATATCATTAGGCCAGGATATTTATCTTAAGTGCTTCTAGTATCTTAAACACCTCTGCCTGTTCTATATTAAACAATATTAACATTGAACTTTCTTTCCTCAGCATGAGGCATGTTGCCAAATTCTCCCTCGTTGAAAACCTGAGTGAGCTTCACTGAATATGTCAGCCGTTTCCCTTTCATTGTCTAAAGCTTTCCCATTATTAACTTTTAACACTTAGTCCCTTACTGTTCTTTTGTTGTTCTAAGATTATAAACACTTATTCAAGCCTCTATTGCAAATGATCTTTCCTCGTCTTTCTAATATTCCTTTTTAGTTGTGTTTGGTATGCTCTGAACTATTTTTTCACACTATTCCTTTCTTATCCTTTATAATGTGCTTGATCTGTGCATTTTTCTTGACTTATTAAACCACTTGGGCCACTTTGTTTCTAGTGTTTTCCTTCCCGTTGGAAATAATCTATTTCTAAGCATTTTATTTCATTCTCTATTGATTTAAAATCCTGTTTCTCTTAAGCTCTTTCAATCCCCCATAGTCAGCTTTTATAATAATGTAAATAATGTAAAATATACATCACATCATAATCCCCAAATGGCAAACTACAGTTCTCTAATGCTTCCTTAGGGCTCACCTCTACTTTAAATTCTTTGAAAAAACTTAATCAACACATTTATTCCTTCTAATATGTGTTCTAACATACAGTAGTAAGAACTAAGAACGTAGTAAGAATAAAACTTAGTGTGAGCCAGGACAACCACTTCAGTTTCAGATGGAGTTTTCCCTGATGATTTTTCCTGATGTGTGATTTTTTTTCCCCGATATGTGAGGAAAATTCAAATCTACCATGATCTCCACCTTTTCCTTCATATATATATGTGGTTGAATTTTTAATATAAGATAGCATTATAATTGATTTGGTCAATAGCACAAAAAAGGGTTAAAAGAGGGAGGGAAATGTGTGTGTGTGGGGGGGTCTGCAAACTAGAGTCAGCTGTTCATCTGGATTATTAGTATTTCATATGCAGTTCATTCATTAATATTGAATCTTCAGTGTAACATATGCAATATCCTAGAATGGGCTCAACCTAAGTTTAGCATCCTCAGACACCTCATATAAGACGCACTGTTTTTTTCACATTTAGGATTCTAAAATATATCCTGTCTTAGCTTAGATCTAGTTCCTCTCCTCTTGAACAAAAATGATCAATGTGTCTTCGATTACTTAACTATTTGCTGCATTTCAAATTACTGTTACACCAGTGCCTAAACATTCTAACCCTAGAAAAGGAAAACCCAAGTACTTATATGTTGTTCTACCTCAAACCTCAAATGTTCAAATGTTCTTAAACTAAGTCAAATCTTCACCAAAAGTTTAGGAAAACCTTCACAAAAACTTTGGGTCATTGTAATAATTAAACAATCATCCTACAATAAACTTTGTATGTTTTCAGTTTGAGTTTAGACTTCTAAATACTGTAGTACTGAAACAGCCCTTCTCAAAGTCAGTCATGGTACTTTTTAATTATTTATCCTGATAAATCATTTGAGAACATTCTCATTTACTATGATAACCAAATTATCAGACATTATGGAGTGAATAATATCCAGAACTGTTTATAATCTTAACCTGACATTGATGTACCTCCTCTCAATTCTAACTGTATATCTAATATTAAGCTTTGTTTAAAACCAAATATTTTGAAATTATGTTGACCAATGAAAGTTTCTTAGTAAATTCTCAGCATCTACTACAAATGTCTAATAGTTTGATCAAGGCTATTGATAGGCAGAGTTAAAAAAATAAATGTTGATTTTAGTATCTTTTTTTGACTGAAAAAAAAGAAAGGTGTTATATAAAATGTTGGCTTTGCATAAAGCCAAAACATTTTGTTGTTTGTTTTTTAATATTGCACATTGCGCCCGTCAATACTAAGTATTACAGTGGCTGTGAGCTTAGGAAAGTATGTTTATTTCCAAATGTTATTCCACAAGATGAAGAAAATATAGGTTTCAGATTCTCACAAGTATCTTTTCATTGTTTTGCATATGGGTGTCATATATCAAACTGTAGAAATAATTTTTTATTAGTGACTCCTCTGTGAAAGATGAATATTACCCAACATTAAAAGAAGCATTTTTTTCAGTCCCTATGACCTGAGCCTTCTTTTGAAATGTATAGATCCCTGTCATTAGTCAGCGACAAAGTGATGTTATTAGCAAAGTTCCCTGCCTTCTGAAAACCTTGGGAGGAATATGGTATAAAGAACTGATAACAACCAGGCTAAAATGTCATGGTCATTTTCCTTGAATTAGTCTGCTGGGGAAAAGGAAATTTCATCTTCAGCACATGAAATGAAGAACACCTGATTTGAAGCCGTATGTCATTGCTGCTGAGTTTTCTTAAGTCAGCAAAAACTATATATAGCAGCAAATAGTGTGAGATATGGAGAAGCTTTTAGTGAGGACAGCAAGCTGTCAGTAGAAAGCTGAGTGGCTATTATGTTAACTGAATAGTCCGAACAATTATGCAAAAGCAGATGGACTGACCTCAGTGAGGTTTTGTTAGGTTAAAGGAAAAATAAAATGCACTCCCTGTAATCATTAATGAAATTTAATACATTTTTTTCATCTTTATTGCCGGTACTCATGGGCTTGATAAGTGACGAGTCGCGTAAAATTGTTCACATGACGATATTAATAATAGTAGTTTCAAACATTCCACACAAAGCAATGGGAAAGGAGGAACAAAGCAGGTCATTGGCAGGGCGATAATCTGGAAAATTACATTGCTCACCATTAAAATCAGTGTCAAGCTGTTCTTTTTCATTTTTTAGTTTTTTAAACATCTGGAGCAACTAATGTGTGCTTACAAATGACCATGAAACATTCGGCTGCAGACATGGTTTAAGAGTGGGTTCTTGTTTTACTTTTGTCATCTGGCGACTGCAGCCTGACCTGAAAGGAGTCCACCTGAGTCATATCTGCTGCTCTCTCCCTCCGCGTTCAGCTGTGGCACCTCATCTTCTGTTGCCACCACCTCTTCAGCTTCATAGCCCTCCTCGGCGTCTTCGCCCTGGGAGACTGCATCACCAAGAAAACTCTCAGATCTCAATCTTGTCCACTCTTCGAAAACTTTAGGCCCATTCTAAGAGGATTCTGTGTGC